GAATTACAATCATCCTATTTACAATGTGTTAACATTTTTAAGACTTCTGAAAGATTTATTTAAGACATTTTAAGGCTAATTAAGGCCTTAATTTTAGATCGATGAATTCAATGACTTTTAAGACTTTTTAAGGATCCGCAGGAAACCTGTGAATGAATACAAATAAAATCATATTTTAAACTGAAGCCAGCACAGGTTTGGCAGGWCGATGGTTCTGGCTCAGATGATGGTAAAAATGGGGCTGAAGAGAGTCAGAGTTTAACGCCTGAGAACAAACAAACTGAGCTCAGCTCTCTTTATTTACCTCTTGTCCCAGCAGCGGCCGGGCCTCCAGGACTCTCCTCGCCTTGTTCTCCTCTTTGACAGGAAGCAAAGATTTGAGGAATTTCGGYGGCTGAGGGGAGAGCACCTTGAAGGGGCTGGCGCTGAAAAAGTTTGGGCTCTCTGGAACTGAGCCTGTATGGAAGACACGTAGTGAAAACCCTGCTAAATCTRCTGAAACATAACAAAGCTGCAGGACCTGGGCCCGGTCCGGGTTACCTGGGTGCTCCTTGGTTTTGATGGGCGTGGTGCAAAGGGGACCATCATGAGAGGTGCAGTTAAAGTCCACATGGTCACAGGGGTCCTAAAGAACCAAATACTCTGAGTAAGTTTCATGAGGTTTAAATAAACGAGCAAAAAATAAAGACATAATCCCTCCATTTAAATACTTGTTCCTCTGAATAATATAATTTATAGATTCGAAATAAAAAAATACAATTGTTTATCTCTTAAAGCATTTAAAGTACCTGTGACATGCCTATCCTTCAAATACAAAAAGTCAAAGAAAGCATCTTTATACTTAAGAAAATTGGCATAATACAGATTATTTTACCCATTTTGTCTCATAACTGGCATATTTTCTTTTGAATTTGGCTCAGCCAAAGTGAAACAGGAAGTGACGTCAAAGGGGAACTCTTTAAGTAAATAAACTCCCTGATCTTTGTTTATTAAAACTATTTAAACTTTAACTCTTCTTTGTCTCTTTGATAGCAACTAAAAATAATCTAAAGAAACATCAGATTCTTCTCTACAGTCTGTATTGTTAGCTTTTGTAACGACGCTCTGTTTACATGCAGACATTCCCCTTTGACATCACTTCCTGTTTCTTCACATGTAAATATCTCAACAACCATTCATCTCAGTGATGTGAAATTTGTTTTGCAATATTTTATCAATGGTATCTTTCCAAAWATGCATTCATGTTTATTACGAAAAATTTATGTCACAGGCACTTTAAAACTAAAGGTTAAATCACAAAAGGCTAATCTTAGGGACTAGAAAATAAGCTAATTTCCAGTGAACATGCAAACTGCACCCAAAATGGTCCCAGGCCAGGAGGCAAACCTGTGGCCTACTCACTGAAAAACGACACTTCTAACCGCTTTACCACCATGCTGTGATTAATTATAATTCTAAAAAAAAGTATCTAGAAATCTGTTTTTTTTTCTTTGTTCTAAAGTGTACTCCAATAAATTAAAACACAAACGTGGGCAACAGAATAATGTGCACNATGCATTCATGTTTATTACGAAAAATTTATGTCACAGGCACTTTAAAACTAAAGGTTAAATCACAAAAGGCTAATCTTAGGGACTAGAAAATAAGCTAATTTCCAGTGAACATGCAAACTGCACCCAAAATGGTCCCAGGCCAGGAGGCAAACCTGTGGCCTACTCACTGAAAAACGACACTTCTAACCGCTTTACCACCATGCTGTGATTAATTATAATTCTAAAAAAAAGTATCTAGAAATCTGTTTTTTTTTCTTTGTTCTAAAGTGTACTCCAATAAATTAAAACACAAACGTGGGCAACAGAATAATGTGCACRACCCACAATASAGTTTGAYGCGTGGTGCTCACAAAATTACAAAAACTGGTTGCAAACATTTAAAGGMATASAAGAATAGAAACAGTCTTTATTGTCCCGTGGAGGGGAAATTCAGGTGTAACAGCAGCAACAAAAAAACAACAGCAAATTGCTATGCACCGATAGCAATAGTGGTAATAGTATAGAAGTAGCAATAACTATTTAAAGGGGCAATATTATGAGTTTCTCAGGCATTTATTTAAATTCTATACCATAATAAAGTATCTATGTCACCTTCCGTTGTTATTAAAATGTTGTTTATATGTTTAAATAGAAAATAAACTTGACTTCTCATCATATCTGTTTCTAAACRTCTTGAAATTGGCCTCTGTCTCTTTAAGAACCTCCTTCCGCTTCTGTCCCGCCCATTTCAGCGCAGGGTCAGGTGTGCGTGTGAGTCAAAGTAAGACTCYGGGCATGTTTTTAATGAGAGGATAACATTATAACATGATATAAACCAAAAAAAAGTTGATTTTACATGATATAGCCCCTTTAAAATTAAAAATAAACAAAATACATGTTGGTACATGTATGTACATGTATGGCAGTAAAAATAAAATATGATACTGTGCAGGTAAGTTAGGTGTGCAAAATTCAGCCAGACTACCTCTGAAGATTTGTCACTTTAATTTTCTCACACTTCTGATTCACCAAATAGTCTCAAACACTCTGATAGAGAAAGAGTCAGAATGAAGAGACAGACCTGATGCATCCTGCCCTCCTCATCCTCCGTCAGGTCTGATTTACTGCACGAAGTCTGGACACAGAAAGAAACTAGTTAAAACTTTATAATGTTTTATTTTCCATTTAGTCATGGGGTAATATGAGGAGTTTTAAAGACCTGCTGGACGTTGGGCGTGCTGACGCTCCTCCTCAGGTGTCTCCCCTTAGCAGCGAGCGCTTCCTTCACCGTCACAGCCTTTCAGAGAGCGAGAAGAAGAGTTTAATCAGGACGAACAATAAAAACTAACTTTCTGGTTTTCTGTAAGAAAAAGCAGCAGTAAAAGCTCAAAATGATTCATGTGCTCAGGTAGAAACATTTGGACTCATTTCCAGAGGCTTATAGTAACTAAGTACATTTACTTTGTTACAGTATTTAAGTAGTTTTTAAGAGGATTTGTAATTTTACCAATTAGTTTTTAAATAGCTGCTTTTACTTTTATTTTGTTACATTTTAAAGCTAAAAAATATACTTTTAATTCTTTACTTTAAAATTTAACATCTAGT